ACGTTCCAAAACAGAGAAGCAATAGGCGTTGTGTTTGAGTTGTCATTAAAACTAAATTTATTACGAATAAAAATATACAATGTACGATCATTGTTACTCCAGCGGTCGGTTGGCAAGCGGACGATGTTTCTGAAGCCAGCCATAGCAGGAGCGAGCGAGCGAACAAAAGCGAGCGAGCGAACAAAAGCGAACGCGAGCGAGCGGAAAAAAAGCGGTCAGTTTCCGGTCGGAAAGCAGCGAGCGGCCGGAAATTAAGCGATAAGCCGTCAGAAAAAAAGCGATAAAAGCGGGAGGTTGGGCGGAATGAGTACTGTATACACCTCAAAAGTAATCACATTGGATCAGCACATACCTGGAAAGTTAACTCCATCAACATAATTCCACCTGGTACAGCTTTCTGTAAATAATAGGATGGTCCTAAGGTCTTTGTGGATTGGCTGAGTAAATGTAATCTAGATTGTTCAGGTAATCTTTTTACATCTAGACTGCTTGTGGAACCGCCAGCTGAGCCACCTCTCATCTGAGTACGTCGTGATAGTCTAGGACTGAGAGCAATATTTCATATTGTTACACAGTATTTTAATGCTACAACATCAGCCTAGAATCCATGTCACAATGTTACACGGTATTTTAATGCTACAACATCAGCCTAGAATCCATGTCATATTACGACACAGTATTTTAATGCTACAACATCAGCCTAGAATCCATGTCATATTACGACACAGTAGTTTAATGCTACAACATCAGCCTAGAATCCATGTCATATTACTACACAGTAGTTTAATGCTATAACATCAGCCTAGAATCCATGTCATATTGTTACACATTATTTTAATGCTACAACATCAGCCTAGAATCCATGTCATATTACTACACAGTATTTTAATGCTACAACATCAGCCTAGAATCCATGTCATATTACTACACAGTATTTTAATGCTACAACATCAGCCTAGAATCCATGTCATATTACGACACAGTATTTTAATGCTATAACATCAGCTTAGAATCCATGTCAAATTGTTACACAGTATTTTAATGCTACATCAGCCTAGAATCCATGTCATATTACGACACAGTATTTTAATGCTACAACATCCGCCTAGAATCCATGTCATATTGTTACACAGTATTTTAATGCTACAACATCAGCCTAGAATCCATGTCATATTACTACACAGTAGTTTAATGCTATAACATCAGCCTAGAATCCATGTCATATTACTACACAGTATTTTATTTTAATGCTACAACATCAGCCTAGAATCCATGTCATATTACGACACAGTATTTTAATGCTATAACATCAGCCTAGAATCCATGTCATATTACTACACAGTAGTTTAATGCTATAACATCAGCCTAGAATCCATGTCATATTACTACACAGTAGTTTAAGGCTATAACATCAGCCTAGAATCCATGTCATATTGATTCATAACGTCAATACACACGCCATACAAGTTGTAGTAAACTGTTTCCAAAGCAATCAGAATAATTTGTATGTTTAGTACAACAAATGATAATTCTGTCAATTGACCGATTGAATTCAAGAAGAAGGATGAGCAAACAATGAAATGCACCCAGATTAAAGAGTTCCACAAATGTAGTAGAATGCATTATACAGTCAGTCTTTTCATATTATATTTCATTCACTAGAGTATCATTTGTTCAACACCTAGAGATGAAAGTAAAATTGCATTCTCCTACATTTGTGGGAGCATTCTGTAGTTTGTCCAGACTTCCCCTTTAAGTAATCAAACACAGCGACTGTTGAACATACCTTCTCTTCGGTGACTGTGGGCGGGTGTTAACCTGTACAAATCCCAGATTTTGTAAGTACTGTATATAATGCTGAACAAATGAAAGTCTAAGTTCATTGTGCCATGGTTCCTCTAGTACGTTTTGTTTATACAACGATGTAGATGATAAAACTCTGGCTGGTGTAGAGGAACCATTGATCAGTACTTGTTGCCGCCATAGTGGACTGAACAGAAGAGGTGTTGCACAGTAATGGACCAATCGGGAAGACTGTTTTAATATCTCCAGGGAATCATCCTGTAAGCATGATATCAAGAATGTTATTGGTCAACATATTCTAGCATCAATGAGTTGAAAACTGAAAAATCTCCAAAATACTAATCTGTAATCATGAAAAGATTGAATCAAGAAAAGACTTGACATCAAACTAGGATCCAAATCATGCAAAGGAGCTAATTAATAAGCAAAAACAGAATCCTTATTGGGACTTACTGATATAGCCATGTTAGAGTGAGCTCCTCTTTGTTGCCACATTAGATACAAATTCTCCAATTTCAATCGCCGCTCCGCTTCTGTAAAATTAAATGAGATCCAATGAAATCATTTCATTGGTACCAATATTTTCCTTTCCCATTTCTCACCAATAAGGTTGGTATGATATGAGGTATTGTGTATGACATGATGTATTGTGTATGACATGATGTATTGTGTATGACATGATGTATTGTGTATGATG